TACCTCTGCATGGGGAATTGAATCCTGAAGCCAGTTTCCAACACACAAACTTTATGAGACAACTATAAAGAAATAACTCTTATAGCCATGCTGTGGGGTTGGCTTCACTGACCTCCATTGAGACATCCTCTGAGCAAAGCACTCACTGTGGCTGCTGGGTCTCCTGATGGGGCAGTGATGTCAAGATGGTGGCAATAAGCACCATGAAAGGCTAAGCTCCACATTGGGAGCCAAGTTATTACCGAAACCAAAGTAAATTCGCCTTCTGGTGAGTTAAATGAGGTTCTCCACCAGAAGGAGTTGTCTCACAAGGTAAAGTATATTTGTGGGAAATAGGAGACCATGAGGAATCATTTCCAAAATCATGGTGTCCCCGAACAAAGGGAAGTAGAGAGCTTTTATTTCAGGTAGGGAATGAATATTCAAAAAGAAGAAGTGGGTACTGTCTTGTACAGGTTCAGTTGGAAAGCATGCTTCCACATACACTGCATGTTATAGTAATAAGGCCTAAGCTTCTCCTGGAGAAATGTTAGCATTAAAAATAAGGCACAGGTCATAGGCATAGCTCTTGTGGTGAGGCTTGGTCTGGTTCAAGGTGGTTGGTGATTGCATCTTCTTACCATAAGGAAAAGAAAAAAAAAAAACACTTTGGAAGAACAGTTAAATGCTTCCAAACCTACATTTGAGTTCCTCTGTGAAGCTAGTCAGTGACAGAAGGAGTAAATAAGACCTGTTAGGAAGAACATAAGCAAGCTTCTTGCCTGAGCACCAAAGATTCAAGAATAGGGATCCCAGGGAGTTCTGGTGACACAAGAAAGAATGCTGGATGCCCCTAGGATAGCTGAGATACCCTGCCTGGTTGAGTTCTAATCAAGATATATCCCACACATCCCAGTTTTCTCGCCTGGGATTTCCTATGTCTGGGAGCACACAATTATCAGTGACGTCTATAGCCATCTCCTTCTCTCCCAATCCTTTTTGTTTTTTTATCCTGGTCCTGAATTACCTGCCCCTGCCCTCATTTTATCCCTTGACTGTTGCCTCCAGTTCTGCTTTTTCTCAGCTCTCCCAGTTCTTAATATCCTGAAGCTCCCAAGAAGCTCCTTTCATTTCTCCTCTTTCAGGTCTTGTCCTTCATCCTCCATAGCTGAATGTGCACTGGCAAGCCTGGCTGGTTGAAAGCTTCAGACCACAGTGGGATCCTCACTCAAGTATCAGCTGCATCCTGCATCCATGATCAGGATTAACTTTGCCCACAGAGCTGAGCTGAAGAAATTTGTGGCTCTGCTCCATTTCTCTTTGTAATCCTTCTCCTTCTCCCTCTCAGCCTCCTCTTCTGCTTCCTCCTGCTTCCATTTTCCTCCTCCTTCTGATGAGGATTTTTAGGCTGCTTAATTTTAAAATGGCTCATGATGAGGATTTTTAGGCTGGTTAGTTTTAAAACTACAGATGAGATTCAGGCTCCAAGGAGTGGAATTTGTTTTGCCCCTTTCTTGGGAAACATTTACATTTCTAAGGGAAACCTCTATCTGTGAAGATGCCTCCCTCTCTGTGCCAGGAAGAAGGGGGAATGGTCTTATCTCTAGAAGCTCTTAATGGGGAAGGCAAGAACTTAAGTTGGTTGCTGTCTGGCAATCTCATGTAACTGGTTTAGGGTGGTGACGTCTAACCTTTCTAACCTTTACTTAATCCGATTTGATTCTTGCCTAAAAGTCATGGGATCACTCAATGACCAGACCCCACCTGCACTGATACCATTTTAACTTTTTTTTCATGTTCTTTCCTTTGTCTTCGTAAAGAGATGACTCACATACCTATGCCTTAAATTTAGCCCTAACCCTCAACTCGGGGCAGCAGCAGGAGCTCTGACTGCCCGTGGGTCCTGTCCCCATGCTATTCCACACTATTCTCTAAATAAAAGAGCACTACTGCCAGATCTTAAGAGTCTAAGAAATCTTTCTTTTGACTCCTCGGCTCACCGACCCCACATCACTTCTGCTTTCCTACTTCTCCTCTAACCCCCTTCTCTTCTCCACATCCTCTTCCTTCTCCTTTGCTCTTCCTCTTTGATTCATCCTCCTCGTCCTGTATGTTTTATGCCTCTTGGTGTCTGACCATCTCCCAAGACTTTGGTCTCAGAACTCCATTCCTCATTTAATTGTCTTCCTTCTCCTTCCTACCCAAACTCAAAATGCTCCCCTTTACTTTCTCTACCCCACACTCAAGGATATAAGCACTGGGGCTATATAATTTTAGAGGTACAGTGAAAAATGAAAATGTGAGTCTTCATACTCAAACAGTGGAAAAAATTGCTTTTAAAGATAATATAAAAAAAATTCTGTTCTTTTGATGTTTCTCTCTTTCAACCTGTCATGATGTTTTATTGTTGTTGCTATTTTTGTTGTTTCTTTGTTTAATTTGTTAGTGTCACTCTCCCTTGGGAACAATGACTTACAGGACAAGTGCAGATACTCTTAGGTGACTGTGGGCTCCACTCCTCTTGCTTTTCATGTGTGTTTAATAATTTTTGGTCAAAATGCTGACATCTTGTGTAGAACAATAGATACTCAAGGTAAACAGTATTTTTGAGGGGGTTCTGGAAGTGGGCATGCCTTTTCTTTTTTTCTAAGCATAGAGTGTGGAGGTTTGAATGAATCTGGTCAGGAGTTAACTGGGCTTATGTTTTGTTGTTGTTTCAACAGTCTTCAAATTTCTCCAGCATTACTTTGTTTGTAGGGTGGGGCTGTTTGCCAGAGGGTTTTCTTAATGTCTGCTTCCCTCTCAGGATTTTGTATGTCCTTTGTGCTGTGTCTCAAGAGGAATTATCTCCATACTCTTGCTCCTCTTCCTGACTTAAGGGCTCTCGTGACTTGATGCTTGCTAACCTGCTTGGGAGAGGGAGGAGGGACATTGTCTTTGCTCTAGTTCAGACTCATTCTTAGGCAGGAGCTTTGTTCTTTAGGTTTTCTTTATGGGCCTTTAAGAATTCCTGACTTTCTCTTCAAGGTATGGAACCTCTAATAGTCCAGAACAGGAAGGTTTTCTGTCTTTTGTCAATTTTTCTTTTTCCCCCAGCTACAGTGTGTTTTCTCATGCTCTGAAGGCAACAGGGCTTTCTGCCCTTCCCCCACCAGGTTAAGGCTTTTTTCTGTGTGGTAGATGGGGAGAAAGATCTGGTAGGGACTTCCTGCCTTTCTCATGTAATAGCTGCTCTCATACCTCAAGCTTGCACCACCAGAAAGGATTTCTCTGGTCTGTGTCCTTGTCTCTAATCTTTCAGGAGCCCTTGGTGAAGTCCATGGAAAATCCCTCGAGATATAAGTCAATTTCCTGTGTCTATGGCTCTCAGGGGTTCTACATGCTCCTGTTTTTTGTTTGTTTGTTTGTTTTTTTGTGTGTGTGTGATTTGATAACAATTTGTCTGATTTATTCTTACCGGCTTATTTAGCATCTGACATCTGTCCCAAGTCAGCAAGCATTTGCACCCCCTGTTTCCTTAGAGCAGTCTGTCTTTCCTTAGATTCCGGGTTATGGGTTGCCCTGTTGTTTCTGCTTTCTGGAATATTCAGGAGAAGTTGTGATTTTCATTATCCCTTGTTTTTAAATTATAAGTATAGGATAGAAGCTCTTTCCAGCTTTCTATGTTTTAATCTTAATTTTCCCAAAAATTATTTCCTTCTTAAATTAGCCTGAGATAATTTCTGTTTCCTTGTTATTCAAGAAATAATGAAATAAACAGTCTAAACACATTTATCCAGATGAGACAAAGCACAAACAAGTATTTAAGAGTGGTGAAATATTTATAAACACCATGAAAAATGAAGGCCAGAATATCCAGTGGACTAGCTTATGATAAGATAAGCACGGAACATTCAAGTAGGAACGATAAGAAGGGAATCTTGGATAAATAATTCTAGAATACTCTATTCACTTCCCACAAGTTCTCACTGGTTTGTTGTTATAAGTAATAGGTTTATAGCAGGACCCTCTGTGTAAACTCCCCATTTGTTGGCATATGCTTTCATCCTAAATAAAATAATAAGATTCCAATTTCACCAAGTAGGGTTACAAGTAGCACTTTCTCATGTTTTAAAAAAAATTCATGTTGAAGATATTCATAATTTGAAAAAATCATTGGATGACTGAACCGAATTTATTCATTTGTTCAAAACTATTCATTGACTACCTACCACTTGCCAGGCACTCTGTTAGATGTTGGGGATCCAGCACAATAGGGCTATAGATGTAACAGCCCCAGCAAACCACTGAAGTCTAGAAGTTGAGTGGACAAACTTCAGTTAAGGGTCATCATTTTAGAAGATATTGTTTTAAGCATGTTGTTTTTGTCTAGAGAGTCTCTAGAGTATAATAAAACTCAGCACACTAAGATTTATATATCTTGAAAAAAAGATTTATATATCTTCATTTAAGTATTTTTCTTCTCAAGTAGACTAACAGTTCCTTGAATAAAGTGATCACATTGTCAACAACGGGATATTCATGAGAGTAGCAAGATGCTTGGATCTAAGCACATGCTAAGTGACTCGTGAGTGAATATACATCACTCAAGTCAAACAGGCTTTTTCTTTATGTGTTTTAGTGTTCCTGTGGTCTCTGTGATGGATACTGGTTCTTCCCTAAGAGTAATGGAGAATTGGTGGTAATTTATATTGTTACACAGGGCAATCATAGGGATTCTGAAAAAGAAAATACGGCAATCAGTGAGACTCAGAGAAATGAGTGAGTTGGGGTGGAGGTGAGACAGGGGAAGAGAATATTTGGGGAATATTCATAAGATCTAGAGAAGGACAGAGTGACTGAAAAGAGTAGGGAAATGAGAGGATTAGGTAGGGTCATGAGAAGATTAGGTAGGGTCCTGTGAAGCCATTTAGTTTCATGCTTTTATTGGATGAGAGAGAAAAAAAAAGGTCTAGAAGTAAAGTGACTTTCCAATGCCACACAAGAGTTGTTCCACAGGAAATGAACTAGCGGAAGATGAAAAAATTGGAAACTAGAGCAAAGAGAGAAACTAGGAGCCAGAGACATGAGTAAGAACTGGGGGTGAAATGAGTCTGAACAGGCAGTCCACAGAACTGGAGGGGAAATGAGGTTCTGAGAAGACAGTCCAGGGTTTAAGGAAGGAGTAGACAGTGATTAATGAGAGGCTTTTCTGTTGGCTGGAGAAGGAAGTCAGAATAGAGGCATTGTGGAGTAGGTTTGTTTAGAACAGAAATCAAAGACCAACTTTTCTGAGAGATGGAAAGAACATCTACAGATGAAATGCGGTTTCTGCAGCTTTCATTGCTAGTGATTCTCCTCCCAGGTTGTGACAATAAAGATGGTAAGAAGTCTGGCATTTGCCAAGTTGGGTGCAAGAGGGTCTGTGTGCGTGTGTGTGTGTGTGGAGGGTTTTCCCAAGTATATATCTGGAGGGTGAGAATGTCAGCCTCATTCCATTCTGACTATCCCTGACCAAATCCCTGTGCCCCTCTGAGGGTTGAATTTAAAGCATGGGGCTCTGGGGCAGGCAAGCATCTGGTAAGATAACTATGGCTCCCCTTTCCTTCCGATTCTAAGTTTCCCCTCTCTAGTACCCTTCTTTCTCCTTTCTGCCTCCCTCTCAATATCTGTTTTTGTCCTCATTTTATCTGTTCTTTTGCCACAGGCTTCCAGGAGCCGATCTCCTTCGAAATCATCCGGATCCATACCTTTTACAGCCGTTCCTGGGTACAAACTCTGGGCTCAATTTGGGTGGATGAGTTGCAGACTCATAAGTGGGACAGCAACTCAGGCAATTACATTTTCCTGTGGCCATGGTCCAAGGCCAACTTCAGCAATGAGGAGTGGATAGAACAAGAAAAGTTATGCTCTACGTTCTCCATTCAATTAATTCGGGCATTTCAGAACCGTGCCAGTCAATGGCAGCTTGAATGTGAGTTCAGTTCCTTCCGTGGGATGTGGGGATATGAGTGGGAGGTGTGTGTGTATGTGTCTCATTGAGTTTCCTATTCCTCTGAGACAGCTTCCTCTCACTTCTGAACCTTACCTCTCCTGATCATTAAACTGCTATTATACACTTTGGGGAAAGAGGTATAACGCAGACCCTGATTTTTCAAAAGCTTCAAGTTTTCTGCTGCTTACAAACTCTCCTCTCATTGACTGCAGGTTTGTGCCTTATTATCTTCCATTAGTAGTCTCCTGTGATCAGCCCCTTCTCTGGACTCCAACCAGAAACCCTCAGCTTCCTCAATCTTTGATTGACTCCTTAGGTGTGATTTTCTCCCCCATTCCATCCCTTCAGCAATTTCCGCTGATACATTCATTGTAACCTATTGCATTCCATTCGCCCTAGATTATTATAATCCCAACTCTTTCACACTGAGTCCTACCTTATTCTCTTGCTCACACTATTCATGTTGCTTTCTGTAAACAACTTTCCCCCTTCTTGGTGTCATCTGTCTCTTCCTCTGTCTCCAACTACCACCAATTCCTCTTTTTCTAAACCTCTTCCGAAACCAAACTTTGCTCAATTCCCTCAAATCTCCTAAACTTCTCCCTTCTCATTCTATCATCTTTTGCTTCCATTCATTTCATTTTTTTACTTCCTCTTTCCATTAATTGCCAACACTTCTTCCCCAGATCCCTTTGAGGTACAGACAACAGCAGGTTATGAGCTGCGCTTTGGGGAAACTTCAGTAGGCTTCATACGGGTTGCTTATCAAGGATCAGATTTCATAAGCTTCCAGAACACTTCATGGTTGCCATCTCCACAGGGTGGAAGTAGGGCTCAGGATGCCTGTAGACTATTCAATTTGAATCAAGTCGGCCTAGAAATAGCAGACAGGTTCCTCAGTGACACCTGCCCACGTCTCCTCCTGGGAATTCTTGATGCGGGGAAGGCAGATCTCCAGCGACAAGGTCAGTCCTGCACCCTTCCTCTAACTCTTCTCTATTCTAAAATCACACCTTTCCATCAACCCTTGCCTATGAAGGAACCAAGAGGGAGAGGGAATAATGGGTGACAGATTCCTAGATGTGGGGAAGATGTGTATATGTAAACTGATAATAGATATGAACCACTAAATCTATGTTAGAGTCCTCATCTCAATATCTTTCTTCTCCTCTGCAGTAAAGCCAGAGGCCTGGCTGTCCACAGGCCCCAGTTCCGGTCCTGGCCATCTGACGCTTGTTTGTCATGTCTCTGGCTTCCATCCGAAGCCTATTTGGGTGATGTGGATGCAGGGCGAGCAGGAGCATCCTGGCACTCAGCGAAGTGACATCTTGCCCAATGCAGATGGGACATGGTATCTTCGGAAGTCCTTGGATGTGGAAGCCATTGAGGCAGCTGGCCTGTCTTGTCGCGTGAGACACAGCAGTCTAGGAGGCCAGGACATCATCGTCTCCTGGGGTAAGGAAGAACTGGGGCCCAAGCTGGGAAAGGGAGTAGGTGGTCCTCCAGAAGAGTAGCAGGGCCAGATGGAAAATTTGGGATTCTAGGGACTTCAGACCCAAAAGAAATAAAAGTAAGTTACCCAAGAAATAGAAAAGTGGAAAAGGAGGTATGTGCAGATGTAACGGGATATTGAGGGTTAGATGAAGGATTGATCTCAGAAGAGGGATGAGAGAAGAAATAGGAAGAGAGGAGATTGATGAGATAGACACTCAAATGAACAAAGGAATACTAGGGGAATACAATAGAGTTTGGTGGATTTGAAATAACACCCAGTGTTCAACCAAATCCACAGAAAATGACAGCTCCATGGGCTTGATCTTCGCGGGAGTGATAGTGTCCCTGGTCCTTCTGACAGGTCTGGCATTTTGGCTTAGGAAACGCCGGTGAGTTCTTTGTATCCATCCTTCCCAGTTTTTGCCCCATTCCCCACTTGTCTTACCATCCTGTTTGTTTTCTCTCTCCTCGGCTCTCTTCCTCCCTTCCTTCTTACCCCTCACTTCTCACCTCCACCTCATGTAGAGTGATCTCCATCTCTGTCTCTATTCTTGTCAGGAAACCCTGTGCAACTCCAAGAACTCCTCTCCCTTCACAATGAGATCCCAGCAGTACAGGGGCTCAGGATTTATCTAAACCAAACATGAAGATGACATCCACTCAACTCTTCTTGTCCAATATTTTTTGTTGTTTATTTCTGCTTGATGATCAGTTTTCAACATAAGCTAAATGTGATTTTTCAGGATTTGTTGTTCTGACCTGGGTTCCAGGACTTTAGAAGTCAAAATTTAACTCTGAATAGAATGAGTTCCTAGCAACCCCCACATATTCAAATATTAATAGTCATCAGGTCCTTTTGAGATGTCACTTCCTCCAGAGGGCCTACCCTGATTTACAAGTGGAAGCAGTCTCTGCCTTGTCTGAACTCCCAGCACATTTGAACTGTACTTTGCCAAATCCACTTCTTGCTTCCTGCCCTTGATTGCAGGTGTTTGGATCCCTTTTCCCATTATAAGTTTAAGCTTTCAGAGGACAAAGTCCACATCTTTTTAGTATTTGTATCCTTGGTCAAGTGTCTTACCTTATGTAACATGTTCACAATAAAAATCTGTGTTGAATTTATGCCAAATTTATTGTCTTTTCTTGTTCTTTTCCTTCTTGAGTGTTTGTAGTTGAGACATTTGATGCTCCTCTTGTTAAAAGTCTTCTCACTTGGCCAAGAAACTCACACTTTCCTAGTTCCTTAGTGACTTCTCTGAGCCCCTGAGGAGAAGCACAATGTTGCCTCTGACCATTCTTATTATTGAACTGTAGAGACCTATCGGAGTGAAACTATTGCTCCAGGTATTCTAAACAAGATGAGGAAGGCAGAAGGTAGGCCCTTGCTATTCAGTGTGGTTGAGGGACACACAGCAGAGTTATCCCCTTGGAACTTGCTAGAAATATGGAATCCTAGGTGTCAGACTTACTGAATCATAATTTGCATTTATCAAAATCAGCAGAGAATTCATAAGTGCATTAAAATTTGAGAAGCACTGGGGCCGGCTCCATGGCCGAGTGGTTAAGTTCTCGCTTTCCGCCACGGCGGCCCAGGGTTTGGATCCTGGGCATGGACATGGCACCCCTCGTCAGGCCACTTTGAGGTGGCGGTCCACATCCCACAACTAGAAGGACGTGCAACTAAGATACACAACTGTGTACAGGGGGGCGGTTTGGGTAGAAAAAGCAGAAAAAAAATAAAAAGATTGGCAACAGTTGTTAGCCCAGGCGCCAATCTTTAAAAAAAAAAAAAATTTGAGAAGCACTGATATAGGTATTGTAAGTGTGTCAGTGAAGAGAATAGAAGATGTCAAAAAGAGAACAGGAATGTTGATGCTCAAGATTGACATTAGATCAAGGCAAAGAGAGAATATACAGTACATCCTCCCTATTCATGTCTGTTGTGTTAAAGTCACTGGGAACACTGAGTTAGTGAATATTGAGCCATCACTTCTATGGGAAATACAAGGTTAGGTTCCTGTGAGCCTCTGATCAGCACATTAGTATCAACTGACGAATACATAGCATTGTTTTAAGTGTATTTCTCTGTAAAGTCACCTTATTTAATATATACACTTCCAAATAATATGTTTATAATATTTATATATGCAGTATGCCTTTATAATAAAACACCAGCCAAACATTGTTTAACATTTTCCCCACCCTCGGTAATGTGATAGTAAATTTCTTGGGCCCTCAGTGACACAGTCGTGCTGTCCACTAAGTTTTTAATAACAAACAAAAAGCAGTCATCATCTCTTGAATCCACAGATCTAGCTCCTTTTCCAACTTTCCATAGCTTCATGAAAGCGTTATTGACATTTCTTTAACACTCTGAAGTGGCTCCACGTACAGATCAGCGAATGTCCTCTACCTTTTTCTGGAGTTACTGCATTGTTGACTCATTAACACTGAACTCATGGCCATAACACTGCAACTCATCCTAGAATAAAGCTTAATCTATGTGTGCATTTTCTCCATAAGCCATATCACAGCTTTCTCATGCTTAGGAACACTAGACAGAACTTTAGCACTATGCTTCAGGGCCCTTTGAACCAGAAAACCAACAACCATGAGCAGAAACGTGCAGAAAATGTGGCACTAAAGAGCTGTGAAAAGGACACTTGTTTACAGTGTGAGAACTGAAAAAAGGAGGCATAGAGGTACCTTATTGGGTCTCAGCTAGAAACGCATGAGGAGGGTGACAAATTTTGCTTCACTCTGCAGGTGTCCATGAATGACTGTGAAACTGTTGTGAGTAATTATTTGGGGGTTACAAATAAATTTCAGCAGGCAGGCAAATTAGCAAATACAGAATTTATGAATAATGAAGATCGACTCTTTCTGAATAATGACTCCAAACAGCAGTATGAGTCAACATACATATTGGTAAACTTCAATTACTTTAGGATTCACTAATTATTTCAACAACTAATTCTTAAGCACTTGCTATGTAGCAGAGACTTGTTAGGTATCAAGCAGTGGAGGAGAAAGCTCGTCACTATCTTCCAAGTGTGAAAATTTTGCCTTCTTAATTTGATTCTACAGTTTACTGTTTTCACTGTTTGTTGTTTCTTTCTTAGCATGACAATTTATTTGGATTGCACTAAGGGAAATGGACTTAACTCTAATTTGTCTAGGGGGCTGAACGAGGATGCCTAAGGCAAGTAGAACATCCAGAGGGAACCAGTGCAGGTGGCAGCAGCCGCACATTTGGAAATTTGGGAAAATAAAATTGAGATAGGTGAGAGGGAAAGGTGAAAACTATGGGATGGGAGAGAGCAAGCAGTGGGACCGCTGCAGTCTTCCTACCTGGGTTACACCAGTTGGTTGCTTCTCTAGGCTCCAATTTACCTTTTCACCCTAATACAGCAGCCATGTGATTTTTGGTTGGTTGACTCCATCGTCCTCTGCGGTCCTGGACTCTGATCAGCCTAAGGCAATCATGAGAAAGCATCCTTAAAGATGTGATAGGCTAAAGGATGAACAGGTAATCAATAATTTCAGTGAAATCATGACATAGATCCCACTTATCCTTGCTTGGGGTGTTCAGGGCCAGGCACCCGCTCTAAGGTGGCACAGTCTATAGGAAGCGTGCTTCTTGTGTCTGAATGTAGGGGAAAGTGATGTTGTCTCTAGTCTTGGATTTTATGCTATGAGGATAAAGATTGAAACAACTAAAGCCATTTCTTTAGCATCAGAGAAGCAAGCCTGAGGATGAAATTATACAGGCAAGAAGACAGAGAAATTTTGTACTTGAAATTTTCTAAGAGGGTAGATCTTAAGTGTTCTTACCATAAAAGAGAAGAAGAAAACCAAAGAACATGGTGAGTATGTGAGGCGATGGGTATGTTAATTGGCTTGTTTGTTGTGATTATTTTACAACATATATGTACATCAAAACATCAAGTTGTACACTTTAAATATATACAACTTTCATTTATCATTTATAAGTCAGTAATTCTGAAAACAACAAAATGTTAAAAAAAAGTCATTAGACAGCACGTGAAAGGATCTAGATTGAACTTCGCTAATGCCTGAATGACTCTCGATTCTCAGTTACGTCAGTCAATAAATTCCCTTTATTTTTTCAGCCCAAGAAGTTGGATATTCTCTCATTTGTGACTGAAAGCATCCTCTCTGGTGTATGTGAACCTCAGGGAACTCTTGGCTAAATTTTACTCTTACTTGCAACATTTCTCTAACTTCCCTCTTCCTTTTCCTCTGTTTTTTAAAATTGATTTCTTCCTCTTCTGCTTTTTTCTTATTCATGTTCTCATGTTATTAAATTCTTACGCTGTCTTGGATTTTACCTATTACTTCATCACAGGCAGAAGTAAGAGATTAGGAGGAATTTTAACAAGAATAAAGGAAAAAACAGTCTATATCATGTATCATGAAAATTAGTATTAGCAATTTTTGCTTTGAAACATTTTCTGTGTGATGCTAGTTGGGGGGCTAGAAACAGTAATTGGTGAATTTGATGACGTTATTGTTTTATTAAATGCTTGTAATACATTGTCTTTTCATCTTTATGCAAACCCTGAGAGTAAATATTTTTGCCTCCACTTAACTAAAGAAAACAATGAAGAGCAGGGAGCCTTTCCAAAGTCACTCACCCACCCAGCAGCAGAACCAGCACTTTGATTCCTCGTCAGGGTTTGTTAGAAACTTATGAAAAGTCCAGGAGAGAGACTGGTCCAGATGCCATAGTTAAAAACGACATGGTGAATTTGATAATTGATGTGGTCTATAAGTTTCAGAAATGATTTCTTTATGCTTTGCTCAATTTTCTGCGGTAATTTGTAAATTCAGTACCTCAGTATTTAAAATGGGAAGCGGACATGGACTGTGAACTAAGTGCATATCTGCGCTCATAGATTGGTGTTTTGTGGTTTTGTTTAATTTTAATTATTCTGAGATTTTTAAACAGTGGTCACTACGTATTAGTTTTTGCATTGTTTTTACATAGGTGAGCACATCTCTTTTTCTGGCTCATAGATGATTCTAAAGTGACATGTATAGGGAAATTTATAGCTTTAAATGCATTTATTTGTAAATAAGACAGACTGAAAACATATAAATGAGCATTTTAATTGAGGAAGCTCGAAAAAGAGCAAAAATCAATAAGAATTTAGAAAGCAGAAAATTAATTTAAAAGCAGTAAAAGTTAAAAAGCAAAAGAAAAATTGATAAAGATGACTGACAAAACTAACAGCTGGCTTTTTGAGAAAATAAAAATACAAACTTCTCTTAAAAGATTAAAAAAGTAATAAATATTAGAAAAGTAGACATATTACAAATAAGTAATGTACAGATTAAAATAAGAAAATGCTATATATAATTTATATCAATACATTTGTTATAGAGTAAATTTTATTTACAAAATGCTAGAAGAGGGAGAAAACCAGAATATATGAATAATTGTTAAGAAAATGAACAAGTAGTCAAAGTTGTTGCCAGTTGCACAAGGTTCTAGGTACAGACTACGTGGAGCAGCAGATAATCATATTTCATGCACAGGGTTCTAAGTAGAGAAAAAGATGGAAAACCATCCCAATTAATGTTAGGAGGCAAAATTTTCATGACAACGAAGTCAGCAAGAATTCCTCCAGAAAAAAACAAAACGAATATTAAAATAGTAATTATAAGCTAATCTCATTTATGTATATTTACTCAGAAATTTTGTATATAGACCCCAATAAAATATTTACAAACAAAAACAAGCACCAAATGAAGTTGTATTTATCTATAGAATGCAAGGATTGTTTACCATTAAAACTCTCTTAATAGAATCACTTCTTTCAACAGATTAAAAAAGACATATATATAATCATCTCCAGAGTTATAGAAAAAGAATTTGATGTATTTAAATGTCCATTTTGATAAAATATTACGAACTCAGAATAGAAAGAAACTCCCACTGCATGGTCAAATGTAGCTACAAACAATCTACGTGAGATATATTTAATTTTGAAGCTTTAAAGCATCCAGGGAAAATCAAGAACAAGATGTCTGTTTATTATAGTCATCACTACTCAGTAGTGCTGAAAGTTCTAGTTAACCTAGTAAGGCAAGAAACATAAGGAGGTATGAAAATAGAAATAAGGGGAAAAAAATCATTATTTTCAGCTTATATGATTGTATACAAGAAAATAAAAAATAAAATACTGGGAATAATAAAAGAGCTCATAACTTATCTAGTTATAAATTTAACATGTAAATAAAACTGTAAGGATTTCAAGGGAATAGTTCTTCTTTTAGATGATATGATCTCTACCCAGAAAACTAATAGAATAAAAAGGAACCTTTAAAGCTACAATGAAAATTTAGTAAGACATCAAGACACGAATCAAATATTAAAAAATCAATAGTCCTTTTTTATACAACCAAAAAAAGGAAAATAAGATACCATTTATAATAGCAATAAAATGCATAAAATAGCTATATATTAGCTAAAGAAAGAATATACAAGACTTCTACAGAGAAATTCTAAAAACTATTGAAGATCATAAGAGCATTTCTGATAATTGGAATTTTACAGAAGGAGTAATTATTATAAAAACTTGTAATTCTTTTAAAATCATTCTATAACTTCAGTAAATTCCTAATTAAAATTCCAATTAGATTTCAGAAGCACTCAATAAACTTATTTTTTATTACATGGAAGAATAAATGGCTACTAATATCTAAATCAATTTTGAAAGAGACAAGCAAAGGCTTATTCACATTGAAATAAAGTCTTGAATGCAAAAGATAATACCACAAAGTTTATAGCATATGATATAGCAGAATATCTTTATGACCTATTAGTGGGGAATTATTTCTCAAACTCAATTCCTAATTTGGAAACTCTAGAGCCTTGGGGAGAAATGGCCTATGGTGGGTCGTTGCCCCCACTCTCCATACACAAACACAGTTCTAGTTAAACAAGGGCCCCTGAGGATGCTGGTATCGCTTGCTCCTGACCTTGAACATTGAGGAGTTGGCCCTTTTTAGGGGTCTATCACTAAGCCAGTTCCTGCTGGGCAGGGGCCCTGAGTTCTCCATCCCTCGGAGGATAGCAGTGGGCATGTCCAGGTCAGGGTTGGGAACAGCACAGATACTTCTGCTATTTTGCATCTTGTTGCTTCTGAACCACAAACTACAAAAAATGATGTTTTTTGCAAAAAAAATTAAATTAAATTAAATTAACAACAAAGCTTCTTGGGGCCACCCCCATGGCCAACTGGTTAAGTTAGCACACTGCACTTTGTCAGCCCAGGGTTTCACCAGTTTGGTTCCCAGGCGCAGACATGACACCACTCATCAGACCATGGTGAGGTGGTGTCCCACATAGCACAACCAGAGGGACCTACAACCGGAATATACCACTATGTACTGGGAGACTTTGGGGAGAAAAAGAAGAAAAAAACAAGAATAGGAAAAAAAGATTGGCAACATGTGTTAGCCCAGATGCCAATCCTTATTTATTTATTTTTTTTTTTGAGGAAGATTAGCCCTGAGCTAACATCTGCCAATCCTCCTCTTTTTGCTGAGGTAGACTGGACATGAGCTAACATCCATGCCCATCTTCCTCTACTTTATATGTGGGACACCTGCCACAGCATGGCTTGCAAAGCCATGCCATGTACGCTCCAGGATCCAAACTGGCGAATCCTGGGCTGCCAAAGTGGAACAGGTGAACTTAACTGCTGTGCCACCAGGCTGGCCCCCAGGGGGCAATCTTTAAAAAAAACTTGCTCAGTTTACTTTATAAAATTGTGGCTGTCTCTTCAATAAAGTATACACTGAACAAAGCTAATGGGTGAAGATTTGACAGAAGTGATTGAAATTTTAAAAATAAAAATAAAATACATGATTTTTTAAAACATATAAACGTTTAATAAATGACAATGTTTAAAAGAGTACTGAATAGGGCCAGCCTGGTGGTGCAGTGGTTAAGTTTGCACGTTCCACTTTGGCGGCCCAGGGTTCACTGGTTCAGATCCCAGGTGCAGACATGGCACCACTTGTCAAGCCCTTCTGTGGTAGGCATCTCACATATAAAGTGGAGAACTTGGGCATGGATGTTAGCTCAGGGCCAGTCTTTCTCAGAAAAAAGGGGAGGATTGGTGGCAGATGTTAGCTCATGGTTAATCTTCCGCGAAAACAAACAAAAGAAAATAAAAGAATACTGAATAGATGCATTAATAAACGAAGCATACATATAATATCTTTTGTTAAAATTAAAGTTCTACTCAAACTCATTGGTAATTAGAGAAATGCAAATTAAGACAAGCTATCTTTTTACACCACCAAATTGGCAAAATCTGAAAGCTGCAGAAGCCCTGCATCTGCAGGGATGTGGGAGAGGTGGAAATCCCCCTGCATTGTTGTGGTGAAGTAATTCTGGAGAGTTTCAGCAGTATCTCATCTAATGATGGCATCTTGA